ATCCGTAAAATGATTTCCTCGGTAACAACGTTTGCCAGGCTTCCTGGTCGCTCCTATCAAAAACGGATCTTTGCCCACGTTTAAATTCGTTGAAGCAAAATCTAACTGTGATCGTAGATGGCGAAATGTCTCCATAAACAGTATCCAACTTTGTTTTCATCTCCTCGCATTTTTTCCCATTCGAAAACAAAAAGCGAGTTACCGAACGATACTGCTCTTTTTCCATCTTAGCGAAAATAACGAAGTAGGTCTCAGTCGAATGGCTGCCAAATCCAAGCTAACCTATCAATCAGCCTGAAATTCGTTTTGGCGTGGTTTGATAGATGACAGCACACGATGACAACACCAATTTCCCTCAGGAACGTTCTCCGTCTTCAAACACGGGTACTTATTGAACCGCCCTCGTACTTGCATGTGATTGTTAATTTTTCAATTTTTTTAATACATTACAAAGTTCGCCTTTGAAATTGCTACTTATCGGTGAAAATTAATCAAAAATAAAAGTCTTCGTGTAATCGATGTATTCGAGCAGATAAATTAACATTAACAGATTTTCCCAGGACCTGGCAGACTTATTAACAAAGTAGGTTGAAAGTTATTAAATTGCGCTGGTACCGTTAAGTTGCATCGGAAGTCTTTTTGATTCGAGAAGTACTTGTACCAACGGTACCGTTACTTCGTTTAATTGAAAAGTATCACGTAAAGAAGTACGATCTTGTACCTACGCTACGCCCATTGGGCACCTGTACAGAACAAATTGAAAGGGAAATTTGGCACATCGACTAACCCAGAAACAGGCGATTGGTCGAAAAATGAGGTTAAACAATAATACTTATAAAAGGTGAAACAAACTAAATGACCTAAAATGCTGTTTAAGCTTGGAATTGGATTAAATGTTGTACTCGTACTGGTTACAGTTACTGATCGAAACCTTAAAGGGGTTTTTCAATCCCTTAGAATGACCAATGCGGTACGTAATTGTGAAAAACACTTTCCATAACCACGAACATATATTCTGAACAAATGAAAATTCTATTTGTTTAAAATAAATCTAACAATTGTTCAAAACTACACGTGTACTCACTTCTTACGCTGTGTGTTGAAATTGCCGGTCATTTGTGCTTTTCATACAATTTATCAGCCGTAATTAAGTTTATCGGTGCATCCTGGACAATTTCACTCGTCCTTTTTCACC